ATTACCGTTGTAACATGAGCAAGCTCATAGTCTGGTCTGCGTGACAACGCATCAGCCAAAGCATTTGCTTTCCCGGCTTATACTTCACCTCGAAGTTATATTCCGCAAGGAAGGATAGCCATCTAGGCTTATACTTCACCTCGAAGTTATATTCCGCAAAGAAGGTTAGCCATCTAGCCGTCATCTGCGAGAGGTGGGGCGACGGAGTCGCAGTGCGTAGTGACGCATGATCTGTATAGATCACAAAAGGCTTGAAACTGAGCAGGTGCACCCTGAACTTGACAATTGCGTACTTCATCGCAAGTAGCTTTCTGTCATGAACTGGGTAGCTCTTATCTGCAGCTTTGAGCTGTCGAGATTCGAACGCGATCACCCGATCTCGCCCTCGGCGTCTGCTTGCAGCAGCTCACAGCCGATGCAAAGTCCAAAGCGACACAGACGACGCTGAAAAGACGATTAGGGTCTGGCAGCGCCAGTATCGGTGCATGTAGGAGGCCCCGTCAAAAGCCTTCTGATGTTCGGTGTTCCAACACCATTCAGCATCCTTTTTAAGGAGATTGGATAATGGCCGGGTCATTTTTGCATAGCTTACACTGTCCTTGTGCAAGTAGTTGGCAAGACCAAGCCACTTACGCAAGTCCTTTTTGTTCGTTTGAATCAGCCAGTCTACAACGGCCTTGACCTTAGCGGGATCCGCTCGAAGGCCACGCTTCCCAATGAAGCACCCTAAAAAGGGAAATCTCTTCTGCGCCAAGGATGAACTTGTCTGCATTGGCGTTTAGGTTGTTCGTGCGCATGCACTCGAGCACCGCTCTTAAATGGACGATGCGGTACTCCTCATCTGGCCTCCGTGCTCCGCATGACTATGAACGAAAATGTCGTCAAAGTTTGTCTGTGCATACGCCCTGTGGGGCCTGAACAACTGCGTCACAAGACGATTAAATGTTACTGGTAAATTTGACAGCCCCTGAGGCATCACCAGCCACTCCCAGAGCAAACCGCTCGGAATGCTTACCGCTGTCAGCGGAATATCACTCGCTCTCATGAGAAATTGGTAGTATCCATCTACCAAATCGAGTGCACTGTACTTCGTACATCCCGCCATGTTGTTCTAAAGAACACCCTATCTAAAAATCGGCGTCTGTACCGGAACGGTGGCAGCGTTGAGCTTATTGAAAGTATGAACGATACGCCACTTGCCGTTCGGCTTCCGAACACGAAACGTGGGTGTCGAATCGGGAGACTTGCTCTCACGTACCATCCCTGCGTTGCTTCGCACGGAAAAAGGCGTCAATGACGTCGCACTGCTTTTTAGACAGGGGCCATTGGTGTGTTACGCAGTATTTGGTTTCCGGAACCAGGTCGATCTTATGACGCACACATCGGTCAGGAAGTATGACCGAAGGCGGGACTTTGGAGACGACATCTTGACATTCCTTTACCAAAGGATAGTACGGATCCCAGGGATTCCGTAGGATCGACGATACACCCGTGCGTTCAGCACGCTCTTGGTGTCCTCCAAGACAGCTTCATTCAAAAGCGATGACGAGTTTATCTCCTCGTCCGATCGTGCAATGACCACTTCGGGCAAATCGCCTGTCTTCAAGGCACTGTCGAAGTCTTCAAGGGACATCTCGTCCAGCTCAAGAAGAGCATCTACTGCAGGCATAGCCTAGAGGCGGACGTCGCCATCTTCCTCCCCCGTCATACCGTTGACGAGGGTGTATAACTGTGCACCGTCATCTACGTAGACACACCCTGGATCAGAGTCAACGCCCGGCATCTCGCAGCCAGCATACGGTATCGCCGTCGCCTCTGTACAGGTTCTTTGTCTCGGTGAGACCAGGGTAAACACGCACCCACGTCGTCCAATGTCACCCTCACTGTCCGCTCCTTTGGAGCTCCGATGTTATCTACAACATCCAACGAAAACCTGCTAACCCCGCAGACTTCGTCCAGTGGATAAGGTGCCACTTCACGCGCATCTGAAGGGCCGCGCCCAAAATGCCTCAGACTCTGTCCGACCGCCATCATTGGCATGCAGCGGCTGCTTCGCAACAAGAGCAGTGCTCAGTGGTTTACGTGCCATTTCACGTGGATCACGGGGGCCTAGCCCCTGAAGCCACGGCCCTTGGCCGACCATGTCACCCATGACATGCAGCGACTGTTTTGAAATTCGAGTAGAGCTCAGTGGTTTACGTGACACTTCACACGCATCACGGGGGCCTCGCCTTCGATGCCTTGGCCTTTGGCCTACCATTACACGCATGGCATGCAGCGACACAGACAAAACACCGTCGTGTGTTTGTGTGCTGCCAGACAGCTCGAAGCTTTGCGTCCTCAGCATAGCTGAGATCCATGGGCACAGACCCTCTCGACGAGCTGTTGGAGTGTGCATTCAAACCAACTCATGCCGTCTTGAAATTGAACTCAGCATTTAATGCCACATTCACCGCCTCTTCAAACAAAGACGGATGCACACGGAAGACTTCCATTC